ATAGCAGTGAGCTTGGTTTTTGTCAAACTCCATGTTAAATAGATTTATTTACAGGAATAAGGAGTTCTGGTGGCACAGAGAGTTAAGCATGAGCTACTAACCAGAAGGTCAGGGCTTCAAACCCACCCGCTGCTCCTGGGGACAAGGTGAAGCTCTGCTTTGGTGAAGATTCAGAGGCTCCAACACCCCCCCTCCCCCGGGCAGCTCTGTTCTGCCCTGTCAGGTTCCTACGAGTCTGACTGGACTTGGCAGAATGGGCTTGGCTTTTGGTTTTTATTTTCAGGGATATTTCCGAAGCTTTCAATTGGCTTAGATACCTTTTGATTCACCAAGATAAAGGATAAAGGCTCAAAATGGTCTGACCAATGAAGTCCTCTTTTAATGCCATATCTTCTTTGACTATTATTATTTAAGGGAAAATTATTTGAGAGGACTAAGAATTCTGAGGGAAAGTTCATGACTATAATAAGGATTTAGTCACTGTGTAGTTTCATACTCCAATATTCATCACGTGTTTCTCTCAGAGGGCTTCACTGATTCTCTCTTGGCTTGGGGGATCAGAAATAGAGGTGAATCTCTGGAGCTCTCCATGGTTCTGGCCAGGGAAAACCCAGCACTGCGTTGGCTTTCCTTGAGCACCGGGTGCCATCCTCAGCGAGCTGTCTGGAGTCAAGGCTGCTCATGCTGATCTGGGGGTGGGGGCGGGATTCTCTTGGTTCACCATGGGGCAAATGTACAGTGAAATATATTTGGGAGGTGGGCTGCGATAGTCAGGGGTTATGCCAACTAGACACTCCTGGGTAAGGCTGAGGGTGGAGCCCAACTCATCTATTGGGTCACAGCCTAATGGCACCTCCTTGGTGTCATAAACTTTTTTTTGGTATAAGACCCAGCAGAGCAGAACTCTCTCTGGCCTCTTGCTTTCTGCACCCACCAGCGGGTCCGCCATTATCTCTGCTTCATCCTCCTCCTGCTCCCTGTTCATCAGCTTCCACGAGTCAGGAGAACCCGGCCCTGCAACCGACCAGACTTACTCATTTCTACAACTGGATCAGGCATTTTAAAAAAAGCAAATCTCTCTCTTTATGCAAACACAAACAAGCATCTTGGTTCTGCTGCTCTAGAGTACCCAGCCTAACCGATGGGTCACAGGAGTTCAGTCGCTCCAAATATGCCTTGCTGGTG